AAAATGAAATCCAGTTATTATCTCAAGTATTTACAAATGTCTTCATGGTCGAATCCCAAGTCTCTCTTCGTTATCAAGTTTTAATAATGATATTCTAGTTCTAGCTTGTCTTCCCTCAAAGCAAACTTTCGCAATGCAAGGAATATTTTAGAAAAATTTCGTATTTCATTAGCTAGAGTTGTTAAGATCATGGACAGTTGACTTAAAGACACCTAAATTATACGCAGTTACAGCAGAGGGTGCCGAATTAAATAACAGAAAAAAAATCTCAAAAAGACACCGTGTATTTCCAGCCAGAGGACGATCATGAAACAAGGATAGCCAAAAGAGAAAAAGTTATGGTAAAAAAATTATAGGTTCAAACACGAGTTGAAAATTGGTTTTTGTTTTAATTTTCTACGCTAAACAGTGGAAGTTGTAACGTTATGGAAACACGGTGGGGCAAGGAGTCATACCTGACAACGTCAAGAGAAGATATAAGAGAAGCCCTTACGATTCTGGCGTCTTATTTTACTGACTCGCTGTTCTCACTTGTATACTCTTCAATCGACCTTGATGTCTTTAAACGCGAAGTGATTTACGGTCGTTTCCTTCAATTTTGGCTCATTTTCCCAAAGCGAAATTATCAGTCACGCTCAATAGGATATAATTTCAACTGAAAGTCCGCGAGCTCGCTGCATTTCTCTAAGGAGTTGAAGGTAGGTTTGCATTTTAGCATATAAAATGATTCGAACAGGCGTAGATTTGCGGGGTCTTTGTAGCACAATGGTCGTGATTCGATGCCTTTCTGGACTTTGTTAAAGCAAAATGCATTACGTTTTTATAAATGTTGTCATGTTCGTATCAGTCGCGGTAGATGAAGGATGCAACGTGTTAATCAGCTATGTTCTGACATTTATCGACCGATGTTTTCAGTTATTTTCGATTTGTCAGGGTAAATTTGAGCCAGGGTACAGAACAAAAATTAGTTCGAGCTAAAGAAGAGCTTGAGTTAACAGAACTCGAAGTAGCTGATAGTAAATGACTGGATTAACAGGGTGAAGTACAAGGGAAATCGGATCTTATTCGAGTTCCTGGCTGTTTAAGTTGACAGGTTTCGAGTTAGCGGGGTTCTACCGAATAAAAAAAGACATTTTGAATCCTTAAAAACCAGGTGTTTTTACCTTGATTGAAGTATCAGTTGTTTGCCAAGGAAATGTATACATATACCAACAAGTGTTTGGCTTAATGTGACTGCTTCGTCCCTCAACCTTTCTTTGGCGACTTGATGGACGCCTCCATCTACCGACTTTTGAACATTATCTCCCTGATTCTTGGACTCCCCCTCTGCTAACCCTTTGATAGCCTCCTTGTCCGATTTGTTACCAGTCCTTGTCCGAGCTAGAATCTTCACAGCTTTTTTCGTTTGAACTGGCTGCTATTAGCTGCATGTTACGGAAAAAGTTGTATTTAAAATGCCTTTTTCTGGCAGCCATGGCAGAGGGTAAAGATGAAGACGCCTGACCAATTTCCTGGTTATCTCAGCATAGATGGTTGCAATGCTTGTAAAACTATTGTTATATTTGATTGCACCAAACACCTCTCCAGCAAGCTCTTTTGAGGTAAGCTTTGCGAAAAGCAAGTATGCCTTCTGTTAAAAACGCTTCTTCTTTAATCAGTGTTTTGAATTTTTCTTCGCGATTGCCGATCTTTTCAAATTCTAGATAGAAGCTTCCTTTTCAATTCTATTTGAATCCACCATCTTTACTGCAATTCGTATTTTGCATAATGGCATTGTTGTAAAAATTCAGCTTATCGGTTTGAGGCCATGACATCTTCCACTGACAATATGGGGAAATCAAAGAAAAGCTATATATTTTAAGGGGGAGGTCAAGTAAATGCTCTGTTGTCGCGAAAAAAATCCTCCTTAGTCCCTACACGGTTGTAAATATTGACCGGTCCCTTACAGGTACAAATCTTAGCCTAAACCTCTTTTTTGGGGGGAGGGGGAGGGGAGTGGGGAGGGGTTGCAATAAAAGTCCTTTTACCAAAGAACTAATAAGTTTCACGTAGTTAGACGTAGTTAGTTTAGAGAAGTATTTTCTGGGTTTGGGGAGGTGTCATCTGCCGGCGTCATCTACAGTAGCCAAGCAGGACTCAAAATTGACAAAGCCATCGTTACTCGTCAAAGTCATCGTCGTGGAAGGAGGTGCAA